CGTGAAAATGATTGTCAATGGGATGAAGAGACATGCTCAAATGCTGCTCTAAATGGCCATTTGGAGATTTTAAAGTGGGCTCGTGAAGATGAGTGTCCATGGAATCGTTGGACATGTGCTTTTGCTGCTCGAAACGGACATTTGGAAACTCTAAAGTGGGCCTATTTAAATGGTTGTCCATGGGATGAAGATACATATCGAGTTGCCAGCGTGAATGACCAAAGGGAAGTGATCCAGTGGCTGCGTGACAATGGCTGCCCTGGGTCTCGTGATGAAGGACACTAATACATACGATTTTTGCCAAAAGTGACTGAACTAATACATCAATGTAATTTATGTGAAGGTCACCAATTAAACGATTCAATCTAAAGTAGACAATGCCAATATCAATGCTCCCAAGCAGCCCATCACTGACCCTTACTGGCAATTACAGAGTCAAATCCACTGAATCGAATCACTTGTTGCTAGAAAAAGGGCAATTGTAGATAACTTCCCTAACGTGCTACCAGTACCAACACACGAGGATGCAACTGCTACAAAAGATGGAGCTTCAGGCAGTTATCAGTGGGATCATAGCTGAACATAATGTGGTAATGTGGAGTACCAAGATAGCTATTAGAGCTGTTACTAGAAGTCAGCATTTTGAATGGCCGAGTCCAGTCACCATGCACTACACTTGGTCCCGGTACCCCTCTGCGAACTGTATTACCCGGTCGGGACGGCCAGGAAATCAAATCATGGGGGTTTCCACCATGCATGCATTGTGCTGATGCGCTGACTTCAGTACTAGCTAGTTTTATAAGGTAATGGTATCCGAAATCATAAGCACGATAGAGTTGAACGTACCGGTACGGCAACAGTACCCTTCCCCCCAGGTGCTCTGCAGGTGCCAAAAACACATTGCATTCTTTTCCTATACTTCTCATAGTCGTGACCTTGATTATGCGTTGTCATTCTTCATTAAAAAAGGTTTGAATAGTTTGTGCAGCAAGGGTTGCGTGATCACTGCTGTCAGGCCCCAAATCCTCTGCTTCTCCCCTGCAGGAAAGACTGGGATAAATGCTCGGAATCGTGAAGAAGCCTCGGTGGTTTCCATGGCAATCAGATCTTCCAGGCTAACGCAGAAAATTTCCTCCACTTCGCCATCATGTCCTGGAAACGTATCTGCATTTATTGGAACTGGAAACACGGCAATCACGGGAGTAACAGGAGTCCCCTTGATCGAGGGCAATGCCGTAGCCCTTCCCAAGACTTCTACCTTGTCCCATGGATAGTCCTCGCCCAGTAATTCCTCTTGAGCTTCTCGTACTGCTGTATCTTGCAGTGTAGAATCTTTTGTAATGTCAAAATGCCCACCTGGAAAACTGACTTCCGAGGCATGCGTTGGAAGATGGCTCGATCGTACGGTAAATAGTAAGGAGGGTGTTCCTTCAAAGCTAACCAAAGGCACCAAGACTGCAGCTTTTCGTTCCTGATCTAGTTTCACAGTTTTCCAGACATTTGCCTCTATCTTTTGGCTGAACAGTGGAAACACAGTCTTGCCAGTTTCTGGGTTCTTGGTTGACCTCTTGGCAAAGAGCTCTCTCAGATGGGGTAATGCCGCTGACAATACCGGACAAGGAGCCAGGGACGAGGCTGTTCTTGCTGATTGAGTAAGGCTACGCCTTCTCTGTGAAATCGCTGTTGAATAAACCATTCGCTTCATCATGGTTGTCTTCATGCTTTGATCTTTCAGGAGCATGTCTTGCAATAGCTACCGATAGGTCTACCGATAGGTCTACCGATAGGCCTTTGTCTTTTTTTCGTGGGTGTGAGATGAAGATCCAGCCGTTTCCTGGTCCATCATTCGTGGTTCCTCGCAGTTCATCTCCGGACCACGAGTTCGCCGTTCATTTCCGTAATCAGCTCTACCACCTCATAGCATCGGAGAACTCTTGGCTTCTCTTGATGACTTCACTACTGGCTAGCCATAGCTAGTGCATACCGGTAGTTAGAGGACAAACGGGGGTCTAGAGTAGGTAAATTATCTACGGAAGCCAGCCAGGGCCAGGCTTGAGCAAAGAGGTAGGTCTCTGAGAGGACCAAGAGGTAGAAACTTAAAAACCAAATTAAAAAGGCATCTAAGTATATCTATGCTCTCAGTTGCGTTTTTCCAGATCCGAGAGAGGGGCCAAGAACAGTTGTGGGTCCCGCTATTGTCAAGGGAGCGAACCGAAAACCATCCAATCTGCAGACTTGAGTCCACAAGTGGAGCTTCTAGAGAGCTCCTCCTGCGGGGCATTGCACCTTTTTAGCTCCCTGTCCGATGGTTTAACTGCTCGTCATTGCTTGTCACTGCCATACATAGTACTGTAAGCGACTTGTGTAAAGGAGGCTCTCCCCGAATTCTGAGACTTCTGGTTGAGCAAATTAATGATGGCTCCACATCCGAGCTGTAGATTGATTTAGATTTTCTCACTTCATTATAGCACGCATAAAAGCCAATTCCAACAATCTTTGGGCGGGTCGCTGCATCGATAAATCAGTATGCATATTGTCGTTCTCACATTACATGTACTTCCATTTGTACTCTGGGTGATTCTTGACATCTTCTTGGACTCCCGTTAATCTTCCCCGAGCTCGAGCCTCGCGGTGATCTTCTACAATCTCTTCTCGAACAATCTGAAACTGTTTGTCGGTCAAACAATGTTCATACCACTGTGTGAGTTTTGGAAAGTGTTTTGTTTCGTGAAAGAGGTTGTCGGACCAACCAAAGGAAATGGGCAACATGAATTCCATAAAACAAAAAGTGCCGAACCATGTGATGTCTGCATGTGTGCATTTGTGGCCCGCCAGAAAGGGCAATTTGGCCTGTTCTTCTAGCCAACACAATTGTTTGTACAGTTCTGCCAATTTGGCGGCTCTTGTAGCGGCGTCCATGGTCCGCCGTGCCGGGGTGAATGGAGTGGGTGTGGGATCCAGATACATGCAGCCCTGCGTATGAGAAAAGTTGGGTTGACTGCAGTTGGGAGAGGCAATATAGAGATCGTGGACTCGAACGAGCAGGTTCACAAAGGCTCGTTCGTCGGGAGATTCCAAGACAAACATTGAGTTGGTTTTCTCTGTGCTTTTGCCAAAGCGATCTTCTAAATACCCCATAATCACGGAAGCCTCGAACAAACACATGCCAGTGTCCGTGATCAAGGCAGGGACCTTGCGACCCGGATTAATGGCACTGTATGCATCAGATTGCAAATCCGACATTTGTACCAGCCGTCGTTCTACTTGATCCTCACGGATACCCCGGAACCGCAACCACAGTCGGATTCGCGACGCATTGTTGCTGTGTTTCAAGTCAAAGAAAATGCATTTCCCACTTGTCGAGAGATCGGCAAAAACATCTTGACTTTCAGTAGTTGACATGATCGAACAAACGGAGGATCAAATATAGTCTACTATGTAGCTACATGTAGTATGGTGCTTTGCCAGCAAACTGTGAATGCCAAATATACAGCCGTGCAAACACTCAACCTTGCTTGATCGACAGCCACCAGCCAAGAGAATACAGCCGTAGTGGAGATGCCGTGAAGTTTGGATCCTTCTGATGAAGACTGCAAAGCTGTGATGCTACCGATGTCACGGTTTGGAAAGGGGTCCGTACCCGAAAGAGTTTTTACAAGGCAAGGCAAAGACGCCACAAATGGATTGAAGTAAAATTTCTTGAATGACCACCTCAAACATTGCTCTATTGTGGTGTGAGACCTTTCTTTATCTGGAAATCCATGCTATAATGTGGTTGTTATGACGACCACTCCGTGGATACCAGTTCGGTGGCATTGTTTTTCATCCATGCTAGCTTGAAGGGACACTCTACGAGAACGCACAATTGTAATAATTACAGTGTATTAAAATTAAATCGGTACCAGTACAGTGTACCGTACGCGTACGAGCGTATTGAAGTACTGTATGGTCCTGCATTGTCACCGGATACCTTACCAGTACCTACACCGTACAGTCGTACAGAATGAGTAGCTTTCACAAGGGCAGCGGGTCTGCAATCATTTGAGAGTATGAAAGTTGTATTTGGTCTGCATGAAGAACATCACTTGAGAGTACGAAAGTTGGATTGGTACAGTGCCGTGCAGTCCATTTTTGGCATTCGCGATCTTCCCATCGAAAATGGCTGTTGTATTTGCTTGGTCGTCACGAAGTCACAAGTCTGTTTGAGGCAAGGAGATTACTCGAAACCACAATAAGCAAGAGCGCTTCCATAATACAGAAAGAAAGATGAAAGCTTTCTGTGTAAGGCTCTTCTTGGTAACATGGCTTCTCGGTTACACCGTTGATTTTGTGGAGGCTGGCAAGAAGAAGAAGAAGAAGAAGAAGAAGAACACGGTGTCCGATTCGGGTGGCAGCAACAACCAAGTGGTCGAGGAGGAGCCAAAACCACTGTTGTATGGTCAGTTTTGTGATATTTATACCACGTCGGATCCCTTCAGGACAAAGACTGATTCGAGGACTCTGAAAACCTGACTGCTCCTCCATCATTTTTGTATTTGCTACATTACAGGTGAAACCATCTACATCCAATCCCTGGCGAGAGATTTTGCTTGGCTCACTGGTGGTCGCGGTAGTGGTAACAAGGAGTCTGGGACAGGGTAAGTGCGATCGGAAGGCCGTGGATGCTACGGTTGTGCATAGTTCTTCTTCTGAATACGCCTTTTGTTGTGATGTATTGAAATTCACCCAACAGCGTCCGGAACAAAGACGGGACGAAAGACGAGAAGGGAAAGGAAAGGCACTACAGATTCGAATTTCAGGCAAATGATAGGAGCGACAAAGGCAAGAAAGAGGGAGAGTGTCTCCGATATGGAGACTTGGTCTTCATGTGGACTACCGGGAAGAATAACAAGAGCAAAAGATGGCTCAGCGGCGAATTCGAAGATGAAGCCACCGCGACCTACGACATTGATCACAAAGACAGAAGGAGCAGGACGAACGAGTTTACATGGCAGCTAAGAAAAAATCTTGGGGACGGACAGATTCGTTATACCCACGGCCAGTGCATCACAGACATGAGTACTGTCTATATTCAATACGGAGGAAAGACGCACAGGTGGTTGGCTTCAGTGTACAAGGAGAGTGCTGAAACGAAACCCTATTTCGAGAACTGGGGTTCGCTCTACAGGTGGGTCTTGCGTAGGGAAGCTGGCAATGGAGAGCTCGATGCCCAACAAAAGGCCGAGTTGACGGAGGAAGAACAGCGCAGGAAGGAAGCACAGGAACAGCGCAGAAAGAAGAGGAGAGAAGCGAGAGGAGAAAGAGGAAAAAAAAAAAAAAAAAAAAGAAAGAAGAAAAAAAAAAGGGAAGGAAGAAGAAGAGAAAAAAAAAAAAAAAAAAAAAGAGCAAGAAAGAAAGAAGAGAGGGGAAGAAGAGAAGAGGAGGAACAACGTAAGAAGGAAGAGGAGGAACGAACCGGAGGAAGAGAGAAGAAGAAAAAAAGAGGAGGAGGAGGAGCAACGACTCAGAAAAAGAGGAGGAACAGCGTCAGAAGGAGAAGAGGAACAAATAAGCAGTTGGAAGAACGGCCAAGAAGGAAGATGGGAACAACGCAAGAAGGAAGAGGAGCAACGCCAGAAGGAGAATGAGGAACACGCAGAAGAGAGGAGGAAAGACGAAGGAGGAAGAGAGGGAGACGGCTCAAGAAGGAAGAGGGAAAAAAGGAAGAGGAGGAAAGACGCAAGAGGAAGAGGAGCAACGACGCAGAAGGAAGAGGGCACGACCAGAAGGAGGAGAGGAACGAGAGGGGAGAGGGGAGGAACGACTCAAGAAAGAAGAGGAGAACAGCGTCAGAAGGAGAAAGAGGAACATGAAGAGTTGGAAGAACGGCTCAAGAAGGAAGATGAGGAACAACGCAAGAAGGAAGAGGAAGAACGGCTCAAGAAGGAAGATGAGGAACAACGCAAGAAGGAAGAAGCAAGAAGAAGAAAGAAGAAAAAAAAAAAAGGAAGGGGAGGAGGAGGAGGAACGACTCAAGAAGGAGGGCGAAGGGAAGAGGAGGTGACGAAGAGGAGATCGAGGTGAAGATGAGGAATGGGAGCGAAGAGGGAGGAGGGGAAGAGGAGATCGAGAATGAAGTGAATGAAGACACTGAATCGGGGGAGGAAGATGAGATAGAGGAGATCGAGGACAATGAGGATGAAGAGGAGATCGAGAATGATGTGAATGAAGACACTGAATCGGGGGAGGAAGATGAGATAGAGGGATCTGAGGACAAAGGGATAAGAGGGTCGTGTAAATTTTGACACTGAATCGGGGGAGGAAGAGGAGATAGAGGACGAAGAGGATGAAGAGGAGATCGAGAATGATGTAAATTTTGACACTGAATCGGGGGAGGAAGATGCTTACTTTGAATTAGAGGAGGAAGATGCTTACTTTGAATCAGAGGAGGAAGATGCAAACTTTGAATCAGAGGAGGAAGACACTGGCTTTGAAACTGTGGAGAGGAAAAGCGGAGACGGCAAAACGATCGTAAAGCATACCTTCAACAACCAGAAGTTTTGCAGCGAGACTGAGCAGCTCAGGATACTTGAAGATGCCATCTTGGACGCGCTATATCCTTCTCGCAGAAAGCTTGGTGACATCAATATTCATATCATCGCAATTGCAAATTCAGGAGACGGCGACGGTGCCGACTTGGGCGACTTGCTTGGAGATGGTAGTAGCTTCAGCTTGAATGATTTGGGTGACATTGGTCACATCAGTGGCGATTACAGCTTAAACTTGGATGATTTGGGCAACTTTGATCGTGGTGGCGGTTGTATCATTGATGATGACCTTTTTTCTTATGCTGAAGATGCTGTGTTGGAAGCCGTGAAATCTTATTGAAGAGTTCATGCTAGTGTTGCTGAGGGACTAAGTCTCCAATCTTTGCCGATAAAAATAGGAACCGTACGGGCCATCAGACAGCACGCACGACAAAGGATTTAATTCTGGATCCTCGAGCAAAACTCTTGATTGATTCTTCGTTACTACCACACCAGTAGCTGCCTCAAGGATGATCTTCGTAAAGATCCATGCTGGAGCTAAGGTCAATCAATCAACGTACGTTATGGAAATGTTCACGGGCTAGCTACACGTAGATCTGTGTATCTCAATACATTTCACTCAACAATCTGAACGCAACCTCATCGCCACCAATATCAAGACCAAACAACAGTCGTTCAATGTTGCCAGTGGAGGGGTGCGATTTCCCGTTCAATCGCGAGCTAATGGTATTTGCAAAAGTTAGGTAGCTTGCAGCTTCCTGGTTGCTGACGTCAAGGCCCTGCACCAAGCCCAAACTTTGAGTTTGGACGGCAAAGTTGATGACCTTACCCAAATCCTTGGCTAGACAGGCGAGACTGTTAGAATACCGATAGCCACGGGAACAAAAGGAAAAGCTCAATTCTTTCTGGAACCTTACCTGTCTGACATTGCACTAGCATGAGCGAACGGGGAGCACACGTGCACCAGGCAGCTACTGACGCGTCTTCTACCTTGCTCGTCAAAACCTTCCCCACGTGATGAAACGAGTGCTTTAATGCCCCAATAGACTCCCTCAGCATGGCTTGCATGCTGAGCACTTCGTTGTCATTGCTGGTAATGTTGCGTATTGCTACTACTCGGGCCCCTTGAGTGTTGACAGAGGAAGCACAGTACAGAAGCTCGCCACGAGCTGCGACGGTGGCCGCCCAAACTTGGAGGATATCCATGTCAACCTGCTCTCTGAGATTCGTAACCTCGCCATCAAGTTCCGTCAAGCATGACTGGATAACGTGCAATCCTTCATGAAACAATGATTCTGCTACTGCTCCGACACGAAAGTCGTTTTGGGTCGCCGTGACCACCAAAGGAATGTGGAACCTTCTCGGATCCGTTGCTCCAAGCCCCACGTGCTGCCCCATGGAAGCCAATGCCCGTGCCAAGGCTACACGAGCTGCTGCCAAGCGTAGCTTGGGGGTTGAAAACAACGACGTGAGCGCTGTCGGGGGTGCTGACGGTGATTTCGTACTGCTAGCCAATTGACTTGCTTCTTGTGGAGGTGGATTATACTCAGCCAGATTGGCAGCTGCCCCCGTCATCATAATCTCGAGTGATTTCTGGACAGCCTCTCTTCCACTCAGAACAGCATCTAGGATCCATTGAGAATCTCGGTCGTCATTGTTGACATAGGTGCTCGCGTAGACTTGGTCTATCCAAAAAGTGGATGCAAGAATCTTGGCATCTGTAGTCATGATGGTTCCGTGTTGCGACAACATTCCTTCTGCATGTCTCAGAACACTGGAGGCTTCTTCCCAATTTCCATTGTCAGCGATACGTCTCACCACTTGCAATATTCGGAGGGGAGAAAGACGTCCATGTAGGTCATATCTCTCTTCACCATTATTTCCCATTCTATAGTTCCCGCTCGCTACGCCGGAGACTATCTCTGTCACCACCCGGAGGCTACGCGATTGTCGTTCATCCAGAGGCATGGATAGCTCGGGTCCCCCAAATAGGAGCCAAAACGTTGAGTACCCAAGTAACATATCTACGTAGTCGGGGGCATCTCTGATGCCCATATTGAACCGGTTGTACACTTGAACCGCAGATTTCGACCAGCGCTGCAACTGATACAGCGCATCATACAGTTGCAAATAGCTTTCTCCTGGTTTGAACAGAGCCAAGAGATCCCATGGAATTGACGGCATTCTGGGAGACGGGCTGTCTCCAGATTGTTGTTCTTGCGGGGAGATTTCGATGCTGGCAGAGACGGCTTGTTTCAGCCTCACAGAAAGGGCTAGCCATGCAGCTCGCTCCACTATTTCCGTAGAAGATTCCTGCAGCAAAGCAGAATTGGAAACAGCCACAACATCCGACGGAGGTAGGAAGTGAAGAATTTCAGACCAAATCTCTGGCGACAAGAATGTCATAACCATGGAGCTACTCTCGTTTGTCGACGACATCTTCCTTCCGCTGCTGTGAGAGATGAGGCGACGTGCAACGTGAAAGGGTTCTGTTGCCGTTTCCTTTTTGTTCCAAAGATCGATGTTACTAGTACTAGTAGGGGCAAGGTTAATTTGCGGGTATTCGAGTGGTCCTGTTTGGTGTCGAGAACATCTAGCAAGTGTTGGTGCATGTTGCGTTGCTGTAGTTATTTCATGTTCGCGAGGCAAGCAGATCTGCAAATGTTCACATGGACGATCAATGGAGTTGATGAGTCTACTGTTAATAATAAGCAAAAATTTACAGATATTTATCTTTTTAAGCAACTATGGCTCCACAGCAGAGGAGTCATGAAGGCTTGTGGCATTCCTTTGGAACTCCTAATGCATATTGCTCCACTTTCGCCAAATTTACAGGAAAGCCTCGTGTAGACCCGCCACTTTCCATTTTGATCTTGTGTCTTGAAGGGTTGCACATTCCATCCCCGCATATCCTCGTGGTTGACAACGAATACAATAACAACTTTTGTCACACTCTGTATAGCCTCCACGCGCTTCATCCAATTCTGTACCTGTGCGCCCTTCAGTAGGTGTTCTCTGTTGATGCTGCCAGCCATCTGATGACCTATCAGGTAGGTGTCCTCCGAGGGCTGCTGCAGAAAGAATGGATGTTTCGTGACATAGAAGGCATCCACAGCTGGAAATGTTCCCCCAAGCGGGGAAACGTAGGCCTCCTCATCCAGAGCTATCAGATCCCTCATGTCGTACTCGCAAGTTACAACATCCCCGGCGCACTCTGGCACCACCACATCCTCAAGCGTCCCAGATTGAAGATTCTTCAACCCAAACTTGCCGCCCTCGCGAAACTGATGATGCCAGATGAGCTCAGACAAAATGCTTCGAGGACTCCCAAAAGACGAGTCGAACTTCATCTTGTCTACAGTGGCCCGGAATGACAGGCGCTCGCGCAAGTAGAATCGTGTCGCAACTCGTCTGGCTATTTCCTTGGAGGCAAAACGCGCTTTCGCGCTCCTGCAGTTTTCTCCCACATGGGAGTACTAGTGCACTAGACGCCCACTGACTCTAGCGTCCTTGCAATTTGGATCCAGAGCTTTCATAGAGGTCTCCCTGCTTGACGAATCAAGTACAACGTTGAGGTCATGTTTCGCATCAGACTCCGACCATACCGGTAGCAGACATCGAGGGACCCCGCCATGACGCTCGAACCTTTCAAGGTTTTCAATCTGGAAACGTTCTCTGATCTCCTGCTTTGTCCATGTTTGGCATCCACAGGATCCTCATCGTTCGCGTTGCTCCCGTGACGGCAGAGGCATACTTCTCGTAGTTGCTGTACTGCACGGCAAAGTGATAGTAAATGCCTCCATGGGTGGCTCATCATGGTTTTCATTGTAAGAGTCCACGATATACACCACAGACCTCAAATTCTTCAGGTGTTTAACAAAGACTGCAGATGCGTCTTCTTCTGTCTTCACCAAACCGGAGCATTGCGATGCGGTCCATCTCCAGGAAGTTCATAAGACCTATCTTCATATTGCCAAACCTTCTGGTTGGTAAATACAAAGTATCCTTCATTTCTGAACTTGTAAAGCACTGTCATTCCTTTTTCGATGGCAAATGGCGTATTAGGTATAGCCCAAACACGGTCTTCCCAATCCCAGGTGTTCCCGTTATGACGACTCCTCCAACCTTGCCTTCTTCTTTGGCAGACAAGACGAGCGCACGAAGATCATCGTAGCAATCACGAACATACAAACTTCTTCCCGTCTCTGCTTCACCAAGAAGAGGTTCCGCAAATTGGAATTCCTTCATCATCAGCTCTTTTCTCCCGTTGACCGATATTGGCGCTTCTCGAGGGGAGGATTCCCATATACTCTGGCAGAATTTGATCCTCTTAATTGTTGGCTTCTGTCACTTCGAATCGTACTTGCTGTCGGACGTCGTGACGTGACCTTCCAGTACATACTTGTGGAACAACATGGTAGAGACAAGGGGTGGAACACCTATCTCCACAAGAATTTTATGGAACAAATCGTCATTGGAGGGATCCCGCCAGCAAGGTGGTTGAAGTCCGCTGCTTTCTTGATGTGGCATTGGATGAGCCCAAGCACAGTGTCAATCGTATCATCCGTCATCTGATCCCTTCTCGATATGGAGCCACCACGCTACATCCTCCACAAGCTTCGACCAGCTTTTTTCTTTCCAAAAATCTCCGGCCTTGCCTTGGACTTGTTCCTTGATCTGGGCAAGATAGTCACGTCGAGCATCGGTCTCGGTGCTTTCGGCCATGGTGGAGGTATCGTATCGGTACGTGCTCGTAAAGATTGTGTTTGGAGATTACACCAACCGTAACCTCCTCGCCGAAATCATCGTGACAGTCACTCGGCGCGACTGACTCGACTCGCACGACTTGATTGACACTTGCGCGCCGGCGCCGCGCTCGCAACCCACCCGTGACTGCGACTGGACTCGACTCGTGCCGCAGTACGGCTGTACATCCTCATGTGCGAGTCTATTATCGATGATAGGGATATCTCATTGTTGATCATGTCTTCTGATAGTGGTACTTGGGCTGGTACTGGTGCTAGTACTGGTGCTACTAGCACTGGCGCTAGTACTGGCGTTGCTGCTGTCAATAGCAGTGCAAACAACAATAAGAAACAGAAGATGTCTCCTCCCTTTGATTCTCTTCTGTTGGACAAGAACGAGATTTGGATCCAAGGTATTCTTCCCCTTGTTGGTGTTGGACAGTACGCTTTTGTAGGGGCTGTCAACAAGAAGATGAATCAACTATACAAAGAGTATTGCAAAATGGAACTTGAGAAAAATCCTGGGAAGGTAAAAATTAACCCGGAGCAAGACCCAAATCATTACAACAGTCACCCAGCAGAAAGCACTGATACCCTTTACAGCGAAACATTCTCTAACGAGCAGCGCGCAGAATTCTGGCTCAAAGACAATTCCAACCATAAATCACCTGCTCGTGCTCATGTTTGCACAGCAATTGCCAAAATTGGAAATCTTACTGTCATGAAATGGGCACGACAAAAAGGATTCCCATGGAATGAGCAGACCTGTGCTGGAGCTGCTAAAAATGGCCATTTGAAAATGCTCCAATGGTTAAGAGAGAATGGTTGTCCTTGGAATGCATCAACATGTGCTTGTGCTGCTCGAAATGGCCATTTGGAAATTCTGAAATGGGCTCGTGAAAATGGTTGTCCATGGAATGCAGAGACATGTGCCCGTGCTGCTGAAGGTGGCCATTTGCAAATTTTAAAGTGGGCTCGTGAAAATAGGTGTCGATGGGATTCATGTACATGTTCCTGTGCTGCTGGAGGTGGCCATTTGGATACTCTCAAGTGGGCTCGAGAAAATGGGTGTCCATGGAATCGATCGACATGTGCCTTTGCTGCTTCAAATGGCCATTTGGAAACTCTAAAGTGGGTTCGTGAAAATGGTTGTCGATGGGATGAAGAGACATGTGCAGAAGCTGCAAGAGGTGGTCACCTTGATGTGCTCAAGTGGGCGCATGAAAATGGTTGTCCGTGGAATAAGAGGACATGTGCCTTTGCTGCTTCAAGTGGACATTTGGAAGCTCTCCAATGGTTGCATGAAAATGGGTGTCCGTGGGATGAGTGGACATGTACCTTTGCTGCCGAAGATGGACACTGGGAACTCTTAAAGTGGGCTTTTGCAAATGGTTGTCCATGTGATGAAGATGCATGTGCCAATGTTGCTGGACATGGCAATTTGGAACTGTTGAAATGTGCTCGTGAAAATGATTGTCTATGGGATGCAGATACATGCTCAAGTGCTGCTCTAAATGGCCATTTGGAAGTTTTGAAGTGGGCTCGCGAAAATGGTTGTCCATGGGATGAAGCGACGTGTACCTTTGCTGCTAAAGGCGGCCATTTAGAAGTTTTGAAGTGGGCTCGTGGAAATGGGTGTCCATGGGACGAAGCTACATATCAAGCTGCCATTTTGAATGACCAAAGGGAAGTGATCCAGTGGCTACATGTCAATGGCTGCCCCGGATCTCACAATAATGAAGGGCACTAATGTATACTACTAGCTAGTACTGGCACGGTGGACCTATCAGGCCTTGCTTAATAAAGCACACACTAGGATTGCATCATTCCATCCCCTCTGAATTGCGCTGCTCCTTCTTGCTAGCTAGTTACTCATTTGATCGCCCTGGTCCAAAGGGTTTGAAAGTGCAAACAGCAGGCCCAGTGAGCCCCATGGATTCGGTTGTATGAATGATGCGATTCAATCATTCCATCCAGGCCAGTAATGTCTAGCTACGGAAGCGCCTGTGTCGTTGCATCCCACAAAAGCTCACAGTGCTTTCCGGCACGTCGGCGAGTACAGTGCAATATGCATTCGGCGAAATACAATCAAGCCCAACTTAAGGTTGCCTCCGACGAGAGAGGCGCTAGACGTACGGTAGAATCGGGGGGGGGCATCTGATGCTTCCACCCATCTACGTCATGATTTGCACCGTGTTGATTGAGCCTTGCTTCCAAATTCCTTTGAAAAGTGGCTTTGTGACAGTCCTGACACGACGTGGATTGTGGTACGATTTCTTCATATGCTCGAAACTGCAGGAGGAACCGATGGAGGTCGTCGTATAGTAGCTGGAAGCAGATTTCTTGGGTCCATACACCAAAGGAACCCGTTCCGAGTCATGATCGGATTGGGGAGGCAAGAGTTCACTCACCCAGTCAGGATTGAGCCCTCTCACTGGTTTTCCCTGCCCAATTCCCGGCACGAGATAATCTGGCAATACCTCTAAGTCAATGTAGCGACTCAGTAGATCTTGTGTCTCTGATTCTTTGGCCACTTCCATTAGCAATCGCAGATGGGGCGCCACGAGGTGCTTTACCAAACCCCACACAAAATCAAAAATGGCCGGTGCATTGACGACGAGAATCTTTTTGATGACATGCGGGTAGTTTTCCTCTAACGGGTCCATAAGTTTCTGTGCCAGGAGAATCAATGAAGGGTGATAGTGCCTTCGATTCAATCCCTTGAGGTCGAGTACGGCCGTGACTCTCCCTGGCCGTTGATGATACTTTTGGTAGAAATCCAGCTGCCATGGTCCTCGAATGGCAAATTCAATTCCCCAAAACAAACTGCGGATGACTTCGTCTCTTCCAAACCTCTGTATCAATCCTAGTGGATCTCCATTGCGAAGGACTGCCACGACTCCACCTTCCTTGTCCACTCCCTGCATAACGGCTGCTGGGAAGCGATAGACCACAACTCGTGGACAAAATGTCTCCAAGACTTCATCCAAGCCATTCTCGGCTCGCCAGTCTGTAGATTGACGGACTCTCTGTTCCATCTTATTCACATCTCCATAACAAGTATGCTCCCTGACAAATCGCACCAACTCAAAGGGACCATTGGCCCAGTGGTCCTTTAGATAGGAGGAAATTTGGGTAAAATGGGTGAAAAAAGGGGAGGGGAAATAAGGCATGGCTGGTCAATTTTAAAATATTTCTGAAACGAAATGATGATAGGATGAGAGCAGATCAGCGGCGTACCTTTCGATCGGACACCCGTTCCTTCAATTCCAGTAACTTGGAAAGTTCTTCTCTGTTCAATCCCCACATAGCAATGCACTCCTGAACCTCTTCGGGACGCCATCTATCTTTATACGACATTCCAAATGGGAAAACGGTGGAGATTTTCCCTGCCGTAGTATCATTGATCTCGGCCGAATCGGGCCAGGAGGTCAATGGCCTCGACTTGGATGATGAACGCCAAACCATGGTGCTTCGTTCTATCAGTTCTACCGGTATCAAACATAAACAACTGCTGCAACAGCGTCGTGTGACATGACATTGTGCGAGAATGAGAGACGAAGAGCGAAAGCGCACAATATGAAGAAGCGAACGCATTCTTGGAGTCCCGTAAACCTAAGCCGGCAAGGATGCTTTTTGCTCTACATGTAATTTTAAAATCTGGGTTAAATCAATTCGGGACTCGTCATTCCACAACGCACGTTCGAACACCACCGGTGCGCACCCCCCGCTTTCCAACAACCACATGGTAAGCAATCTCAAAGTATCTCATTGTTGATCATGTCTTCTTATAGTATTGCAACTGGTGTTGGTACTGGTGCTAGTACTGGTGCTGCCAATGGTAGCAGTGCAAGCACCAATAAGAAACAGAAGATATCTCCTCCCTTTGATTCTCTTCTGTTGGACAAGAACGAGATTTGGCTCCAAGGTATTCTTCCCCTTGTTGGTGTTGGACAGTACGCTTTCATTGGGGCTGTCAACAAGAAGATGAATCAACTATACAAAGAGTATTGCAAAACTGAACTTGAGAAAAATCCTGGGAAGGTAAAAATTAACCCGGAGCAAGACCCAAATCATTACAATAGTCACCCAGCAGAAAGCACCGATACCCTTTACAGCGAAACATTCTCTAACGAGCAGCGCGCAGAATTCTGGCTCAAAGACAATTCCAACCATAAATCACCTGCTCGTGCTCATGTTTGCACAGCAATTGCCAAAATTGGAAATCTTACTGTCATGAAATGGGCACGACAAAAAGGATTCCCATGGAATGAGAAGACCTGTGCTGGAGCTGCTAAAAATGGCCATTTGAAAATGCTCCAATGGTTAAGAGAGAATGGTTGTCCTTGGAATGTATGGACATGTTCCAGTGCTGCTCGATTCGGACATTTGAAAATTTTAAAGTGGGCTCGTGAAAACGGTTGTCCATGGGATGCAAATACATGTTCCTGTGCTGCTGAAAAGGGACAGTTGGAAGTTTTAAAGTGGGCTCGTGCAAAGGACTGTCCATGGAGTGAATGGACATTTCACACTGCCAGGATCCATAACGAAATCGAAGCAATCCAGTGGCTACGCGACAATGGCTGCCCTGGATCTCGCAATTGACGGACACCAATAGGCTACTAGCTATTAGCAGTATGACCATGAGACTGTGGATCTATCAAGCCTTCCTTGGATTGATGCCACCCTACCAATACTTGTATGGCCAAGAAGCCTCAATCCATGGCACAAAATTCGTCGTGTTGCTCACATTGCATTGGGCTGAGATAATCATTAATTATGCCCGTGCAGGACTCCTGCCTTTTGGCTCCTTTTCGTTGCCTGTGAGGCATCGTTCACAGGAGCAGGCTCAGTTGGATGCACTTTCTCGAACAGCGAGCAACTTCCTTCTGGCCTTGAGCTACCGAGCTAGCTAGAGTACATGTAGTTGGCTCTAGCAACAACAATGTTTGCAACGGAACGAAGAGCGTTTGAAGCTGAAGTTGTTGCCTTGGTTGGAGCCTGAGCAAACACACGATCTTAGTTAGGGTAGCACAGTCAAAGTACCGCATGCAAGGAGAGGGTGGAGCCTGTAATACGGGCGATTGTTTACATGCGCAAGTACTCTGTTGTACTGGTAGAAATCTTGGTGCAGGTTTGGTGCAGGGCGGAAAGCCTCGTATAATGGCAAATGCTATAATGGCAACATCAGTCTCTTCTTCCAGCCACAGCATGCCATCACCTTCAGCAAAACTACCAAGTAGAATATTCAGGCTTCGTCTTGGACCTCCCCAGAAGTCAAAGCGTCCGAATTGGGACCATGGGTAACATCCTCCCGTCTTGCCTACCGGTACATTATCATAGCACCCTGGTCTGTTCTCGAGGACTCGAAGAACACTTCCAATGGATTGCAGATTGCAGGGGGCGTCAATAGTGTGAAGGAGCTGCGGTCAACGTCCGACTCCTCTTGCCACAACGTCAAATCGTTCGCCTGGCCTGACGACGGTTAGCAGCACTCCGTCTCCGTGGATGACAGCACTAGCTAGTAACCACTCGAAGCCGACCACTCTTAGACCCCGCTACTGCTCATCGGACGAAACAGAAATCATGGCAATACGTTGGAACAGGTTAGAATCAATCGCACAGAGCTAGATGACAGCGGGAGCCTAGGACTGACCCTTCGCTTGGGACCATGCTGAACTATCTGACCTCGTCTTCATCCTCGCCTTGATCCCCGGGTGTGTCAGGGTTTCCTCCCCTCCCGACAATCGTGTCACCAGCGGGAGAGAGGGAAGGTGACTCCATGGTACCTGTTGGAGTTATCGATGGATACTCAGTTGAAGTCAATGGCACCGACGTCGAATCGTCCAAGGGAGAATCTGATGGATCCAAAGTTGAAGTGAATGGCACCACTGTCGAATCCTCCAACGGAAGCTCCGTTGGGATTGCAGTTGCTGTCATTGGCGCCGACGTCACATCCTCATCCAAGGGGGGCGTGGTGCCATACAACCCCGTCGTGGATACTGAACCCAGCATCGTTGGCATTTCGGTGGCTTCTACTTCCAATGCTTCATCAATCTCGCGACTCATGATGCCATACGATATCGATTCCGGTGACCCCGTCGAGTCGCCAGAGCTATAAGCATTGAGATTCAGGACAACTCCATTGAAGTGAGGATTGGAATCGAAGACCTCAGTGGCATTTTGTTGGGAGATTTTGTAGTCAAGATCAGGACCCCAGCTCAGCACAGTCTGATCCAGTCCTCCTGGTAGGACATTGATCCTACTACCCTGCAACTTGCCATCGACGTAGAGTAGCGGGACAATCAGTCCTCCAGCTTCCTTTGGTACTTGCGCCCAAGTAGCGGAACCTGCAGGATTGCTAGTGTACAAAGCAATGTCGTCGATCGTACCCGTCACGTCGTCCAAGGATAAGATCAAGTTACCAAAGCGCCCTCCTTGTGAAAGCCAATAATCCAGGTCGAAAAGCAGCCACTTATCAAGTTCGATGCTCGCTACGGCATCGCTTGTCTCTTCGGGGAAATGCATTACTGGTACTCGCGATCCGCCTCCTTCCTTGTGAACGTAGATTGGTTTCACTGGCTCGTCTCCTACACTGATGTAATAAAAGCTCTTGTCCCATGCCGCTTTATAAATGGCATTCTCGAAGCTCCCAGGAACGTTTCCACCCATGGCAATCATGTAATCGGTTGGACTAGACTCCAGACCAGCTTCTTGCAAGACCAGGCGAGTGGCACTTGAGACATCCACGCCAAACTCCACAATCACTTCGGCTACGTCGACAGCCACTGTGGCTTGGAGTTCCACGTGTCCCGTAGCGTTGTCGATTGTGATGGAATCGTCCAAGACCAATGACGAACCATTGCCAGTCATCGGTGGCTCTACCGAATTGAAACACACACTTTCCGTGCTATTATTAGAGCTGGACAAGTCTCCCGCAGGCGGTGCAAATAGTTCTTGTAGAAAGCTCACAAAGATGGGTGCTCTGTAGTTGACGTAGTTGCCATCTTGGAACAGGACTTGTCTCCATAACTGTGTGTCGGCGTTGTAGTCTCCTTCGGAGGGCCACGTGACGTGCATCCCAGTCCCCGGTGCTGTGCCTAGACCAACTCCTTGTTCTACAAACATGTCGGAGTAGGCATCCAATGCCTCTTGCAACAGAATATCCAAGGATTCCTGTGGATTGCACATGGTTCTAAATGTGGACAAGAAGCTTCCAATGTCCAAGCTGGAAGGATTGGCTGCCACGTCCAACGAGTCCATGACACCAAGAAAGGCCACCGACAAAGCTCTCGCTCTGGACACGTGAGCGCGCAAATTGGAATCCAAGTTTTCCAGGGCAGCACCAAGGTCCAAAAAGAGGTTCTCCCAGGCTGTGACGAACGTGTCAAACAACTGCGTGTCGAACAATGCCATCGTTTTGGGCACGGATTGTTCGTCATGATTCAGAAAGGCGCCAAGGATGTCTCTAGCAAGATCCAGTGCATTGTCGTGTGGCTGCAGGTTCTCGTACGCCCATCCTGGTAGCCGAATTGGTGGAGAAAATAATATAATGTATGTAAGGTAAGCATTCACGAGACAGTCTCATAATAATATTCAAGGATAGTTCTTTCACGTACCATGCCCTGGCATGATGGATTCACTGGCCAGGATATAATCCGTCACTTCGGGATAGGCATCGGCCACACCAAGCCCCTGCATGCTATTACTATCAAACCCGAGCACCTGTAGATTGAGTCGGACATTGAGAAAGAGTTCTCTCGAAACACTATCCAAAGCCCGACGAATGGCCTGTGCCAGTTGCGGATTGGTTTGCAATTGTTGAAGACGACGTGTATTAGCATCGCCACCAAAGCCCGCAAAGCCACCGGCAGATCCCGCGAAAATGGCCACCAACTGGTCGTATCCATTGGCGAGGCAATTTTCCAAAGCATGCACCAAAAAGTCTCGGATGGTGTTGGTGTCATCGGAATTTTGTTCGTTTTGAAATTCGACATCCATGCGCATACTGCCCAAGCGGGGATCAAATGTACTGTAGCGACTGGCATTGAATGGGTCAGTGACAAGTTCCGTGCCATTCACGTCGAATGTGTCGGGAAGGATTTGTCCACCGGCATTGTTATAGGCATCGTGGTATATCCACGTGCGAACCTGGTCCGTGGCGCGTACCAGTGGTGACTTGGCCAATGCTTGGTAGTTGTGTACTAGATATGGATGCATTTCTTCATTGTCGGCCATTTGGTAGACCATGAGACAGGTCTTTTTGGAGGCAGGAGTGGGCGCAGGCGATGGGATGGGTGCTCCTGCTACGGCAGTGATGGAATACGTGGAAAAGTAGTATTCCGAGTCTCCTCCACTCCCCGCCAGTCCAATGACGACTGTCACATCCAGCGTCAATTCTCCTGCCATAGTTGGCGGCACTTGCAGGAATGCCTGGATGGATTCCTTTTCGACACTGGAAGTGTGCGTGATTCCGCCCGCTTGATCGCCACAGACATCTTGTGCGGTTTGGACGTTGGAATCATCATCGTCTGTTTCTGGATACAGCGATGTCGACAAGTCATTCTCATTGTCACCATTGCTTCCCAATCGGATCAAGAACCCCTTAAAGGTACCCGTGTTGCCCACCAACTCGAGTGAAAATGCCCTTCCCGCCAATACCGCGGCTGGCTTGTCCCCCAAAACGGCATTGTTCAAAAGTACCCGCAATGTTTGAGGCGATTCTTCCAGTGTACCACTCGTGACATCACCCGTCAAATGAGGATCTCCCACTGCCACAATGCCGGCTGGACAGTCACCAGCTCCCGTGGGCCATGCATTGGCACCCGAAAACAAGAACGAGAGGGACACCACCAGTGCGAGAAACAGAGATACCCAGGTAGATATTGGGCTACTACTAGTGGTATACCTGATGGTGCTGACTGTCTTGATCATTTCGATTTCTTCTTTGCCTTGCCTCCCAACAATGGATTCCAAAGATGATGGAACAAGCAAAGGGGGGGAAATAAATGAGAAGGCAAATGACCTTCATGACTCTCACGGTCTTTTTACCACAAACAGCTTTGCAATCCCCCGTGATGGCGTGTGTGCATAGTTACCGGTACCGGTACGGGCAATGGGAGCAAAACAATGGCGCTGCTGCTCTAGCTAGCTAGTAGATTGAGATCAAAACATTCAATTCGTGGCCTGTGGCCTTAACATAAATCGTAAATTACGTTGGCACCTTAGTGTCCTTCATCACCCAGGGCAGCCATTGTCACCTAGCCACTGGATCACTTGGCATTGACCATTAATTATGCTAGTGTTCCTCATCATGAGACCCAGGGCAGTTATTATCACGTAGCCACTGGATCACTTCTAAGCGGCCATAGTCATCAGCAGTTTGATATGTCTCTTCATTCCATGGACAACCATTTTCATGTAACCACTTCAAAACTTCAAATTGTCCATGTTCGGTAGCATGGAGACATGTATCTTCATCCCATGGACAACCATTTTCATGAGCCCACTTCAGAATTTCCATTCGACCATTTGCAGCAGCAATTTTACATGTAAACTCATCCC